GAACAGTTTCAGTCAGTGAACATATGCAAAAGTAGTGGAATTATAAAGAAAATCTTGTGTAATGTAAAGCAGATAGATTACGGATGACTTACGATTGCATAACGGAATCATTGTATCATTATGTACATGTAATGTGAATGAGCATTGAATTGTAACACAAGATTACATGGTTCAATCTTAAAATTCATTGAAAAACAGATTTGAATATTCTATGGTGTTCTTCATGTTGAATTGCATAAGTGGATGTAAACGATGGCTTAAAGAATATTTTTGAAATAAAGCTTAGGTTTAGCCTTGGTCTCTGCTTTCATAAAAATTACTATGTAGAAAGGAGTACATTTTCTAATATGTAATGTGTATATCAACACCACATAGATTTCAAATGCAAATCATTCATGATGTAAATACGTCTCAGTTAGTGTAGGAAAACTACATCGTTCTGTGTAATAGTACACATCAATGTGGGAAGGTAGACTATTTAATTGAGTACAAGAAAATCAGTGATATAAATCTGTAGCCAAACAAGGCAGTTGATGATTTTGTTTTCTATTTTTAGGTCGCAGTTAATGTGATGGGAGCATTTGTTCTCCTATCAGTTTTACCAGTAAGTTAAACATTAAAAAAAAGTAAGTTTTGTTATAATCTGAAAACTGACAATTGTTTGACCAATGTAAGATAATTTAAACTGTCATTCATCATGCGGTTGTCAAATGACGAGGTAATACATGCCATCATCGAATTTGTTATATCTTCGATTTTACAAAAAACAGTAGACCTGTTACAGGAAGTTCATAATAGAAATTTGTTTGAAATAATTCCGAAATCTATTCCACTTCACATTATGTTTACATCAGATTACCTCGAAGTATCATGAAAAATAGTCCTGAAGTGAATTGTACGTAAACGTAAAATGTAGAGCATTCAGGAATGCGCAAGTATACAATTTGCATAGTTAAATGACCAATTCGTAGATTGAAAACATGTAAAACTTTAGATGTTTAATGTTCGCGAAAATATGTGTTGAGTAACATGTGAAATCTATAAGTTTTAACTTCTTTTGGTAGAACTATACATCTAGTTTACTGTAATAGTAAGCAAGTTCTCCTCTTTATTCAAAATTTTTAGTTAGTTACTGATATTTATTGGCCAGCAACTGAAACTAGAATCCTATCCATGGATGCTTCAGTCGGATTGTATATTTTATGCTGTCGTGATATCAATAATATATTTGTTCATATTTTATTCAATCGCCATGCAGTTTTTTAATTCACAGAAGCAAATCAATACTGTCAGCGGTTAATATTCGCAGTGTTATGTCTATTCATATGAGAGAGGTATTCTGTTATTCTAAATATAATCTTTATAAACTATTACCAATTTCAACAAATAGAGTTGGTAATCGAAATATGTCGTTTCTTCTGAATTTTTTAAAATAAATGTATTATCAGTTATTCATCAATTGTAATTATATTCCAGTACTTGGTTTTTCCCTAAATTAGTGAATTCTAGAATTTAGGCCTAAACACTCTAGGCCGGATTTCATCAGTAGTTAAGGATCAATTAGGACTGGAATCCTCAAAGTGAACAGGGTTGTAGGCTTCTTAGGTGTGTAGAACAGTGTCAGTCAGCATCACTCTTCACTTTGCGATGTACTACGTCTTGTGATAATTTGCATTCTGTATACGTCTTCCGATTAAATTGGCAGGTCGTATAGTAAGTCTCAAAAAAATCCTTTAGTTATATTACGTGTTAGAGTTAAACTGGAACACAAAATATCCTTTTCTTTATTGTAGCTTTCTTCTTCTAGTAATAAAACGCAGCGTACAATTATCTCGTTAGCTAACTTTTCGTAGTATTGCAGTAATTAAATTAACCATCACTTCTATTCGCTGATGCAATAGATCACCTAATAAAAGTAGGGATTCGAAAGCTGTTCTACTATCGTTTGCTGGTCCGATTTTAAGAAGCTCAACAGTCACAATCACGGAATCAAGTGGATTGTTATTTGAGCGAAAATAATAACAGCTAGATACTTGTTGATTTATTTATCGACTAGCAAGTAAAGTTGTTTCAACTTCATTCAAAGTCCAGCCTCAAGATGATTTATTGCCTTCACGCTGAATGATTAACCTACTAACCAACGCTCCATTAATCACTAACATTAACACATGTCAGTGAAGTTCTGTTAATCCTAACTTCAGTCATCTTGTTTATTGTGTTACGGATGTTTCATTTTTCACTACCGATCTACTTTTTCACTTTGAGGCAAGTTTTAGTGATAGGATAGTTGTGAGTTTTATTATTGGTAGTATAGTCAAGGGCAAGATTTTTCAAAAGGGATGTAGTTTTTTGATTCAGTTTTTCCGACTCCTCTTTCTCTTGCATGTTGTCTGCTTTTAACATCATCCGATCAATTTCAGTCACGAAATATTCAAGATAAAATTACCTCTTCTATTCAGTTGACAGTTCAGCTGAATACTGCAGGCGAATCAATGAAGTCAGCATAAATTTTAGTTTCACTTGCAGATTTGGATGGTGGTGAAGTGAACTATTCATTTCTAAAACAACTATTTTAAGGTAATGTTATTACTAATTCAGGACTAATTTTAGGTGAATTCATTGTCTTCAGGTTGACAAATCGGACTCGTGATAATTTCACTTACTGTCGACAAAAGTGACAGAAAATCGACAACCGGAAATTCGAGTAATACAACTATGAACATTCAACCAAAATAGCTTTATCGAATTCCGATCAAAACGGTGACCACATTTTGGTAAACATGTCACCTGACAGTAATCAACTCGTAGATCATCATTTCAGGTTATCTGTGTCGTTGGTTTCAGGACTACTCGTGTTTCACGAGAATGGTGTGATGCCCTAGCGTATATCAAAGACATGTCTCAAGGTTATTGCTTGACTTGGATTACTCCATAGCCATGACTAAGTGACTTATTTGAACAAATACTCTGAATAAATAGTAGCATATATTGGTATCAACGATTAACGAGAGTTTAATGAGGAACCAACACTACATGTGTCTGTCCAAAACAGATGATCGATTTGTTTGTGCTGTTTAGGTCTTAACAAAGACGGCGTTCGACAAACTGCTTGATATTGATTCATTACCCTGTCAAACGATTTTGCTAGGTCCGAGTGACATTTCACTAATTAAAGAGAACCTTCAAAATATTAACATGCTCTCAGAAGTATACTGCACACTACCTAGTCCGTATCAATTTTTTTCAACAGTCAGCTTAAACCCTTTGGTACAATGAACAAATAAGTAATAGAATGAAAAAACTCAATTAATGCTGATGGTATTGATTTCGTAAAGAGGGTGATACAGGAAGTTATTAATGACCGGATAAGCTGTTCTTAATCCAATAGGTCTTTCAAATAATGATTAGCACATAACTTGTTGTTTACAGAGGTGTTTGTTCGTGTTTACTTACAGTTTCACAAAAGCTGACAGGGTGCATTTCAATTTGTGTTGACTGGCTAACATGTGGGCATATACGATTTCGTAAGTTTAACATATGCGTAGTGTTACTAATAGGCGTCTACTGTGAAATCTCCTTGGACAAGCATTATACTCCAGCTTGGTAAGAAACCAGTATTAACTTCGCAGAAACCAAGAAATCATGCGCTATTTTGTACTGTGATTACGTCACATATGAATGCTTGACTCTCTTGCATATTTTTGAAAACATGACTCAATCACTATAAGACCACCATTAGAAACCTGGATGCACCGAAAGACGGCCGTTTTGTCCTGGTATAGGACTTTTCAACATTGCGCATCCACGATTCTCGCTGCTCTCAGGAATCGAACCCATGACTTACAATCTTGATCGCAAATACATAACTTCTGGACTTCTGAGCCAGCATCCAACGATGTTGTTGTCTCACTTCGACACGTTCTCGGTTCTGTGCAACCTCATCCACTGTCAAATGTCTCAAATGTTTGATGGTTAATTGATTTAACTAAATCTCGTAAAGGACAGATAAGTGAGCTTTCTATAACTGTGCTGTGAATATATTTGAATCTCTTAAAAATCAATAACATTCAAGTGACTTTTTGCTCATACGCTTTAAATTGTGAAATAATCAAGATTCTTTAAATCACAAATATAGTAATTCTTGCCATACAAAAATTTACTCTTTGAACTCTTACAATTCTTATTCATTAAAATTAAAGTGCGAAGTCCAAAATATATGAGAAACGTAAACACAATTCGGTGAATTAAAAATGACTGTCAAATAAAATTCTTTTGTCTATGTCTGAGGCAGATTTGTTTGACCGAACAAGGACGAAAGAACCTCTACAAATGAAGCAAAGAAATTTTAATTTCCAGACTACAGGTCAGGTGATAAAAATACAGCCTGGTATTCTTTTCAAGGAGATAATTGGTGATTACCTTTTCTCATAGACGATAATGCTTATAAGCAAATAATTTATGAACGAGAATGTCAACATCATGAATTACAGGTAAATAAAGCTTGGTAAACTGGTAACAAAATGATCAATTCTTTTGTGACATTTTATGGTGCAGATGTCGTTTGAACTGCGTAGATTGTTTTTCGATTCTGATATGATCAATAAATTGGCTGCGTCCGAAGAATTGTTGTGCTACACAACTGAACCTGTTTTCAAATACCATTGTCTACTCATTCTCTTTGAGTCACTTAATTTTATATAGGTTCTTCCTATACAATGAAGTAGAGTTACAGCATTTGATATTAGTAAGAAGAATGAGTTTGATGTGAATGTAGTCATGTTTTTGTCTGAAAAATAGAAGTGATGCGATTTAGGATACTGATTCATGGATTTAAATATTTTCAGTTGTGAAAAAATCATTAAATATGTCTGTGCTGGTTTTAATGCATGTTATTTTAGTTTAACAGGGTTATTTGAGTGAATTTACTTTGACTATACTTTACAGAAGTATATTAAAGATCATTTTTGTTATGCTCGTCACTGAGTATGCTTGAAACTGTTACGCGTTAACCTCTGTCGATAAACGAGAAAGAGAATATGAACCAGTGGCATGATAGGCTACGCTGAAATGTAGACCAGAAGGAACTAACGACAATCGAGATAAAGCCTAGATATTATATTCTACAAGTATATTCTATCTCCCACTAAACAGTCAGTAACAAGTGTTTTTACACTAATTTTTTTATGTTTGAGAGTAATCTGTGGTTTTGTGAGCGTAGTTTGGGTTAAGCAAAAAGCCATTTAGCGATTTTGTGATTTGTTGATATCACGCCTCGAATACATACCTACCGAAGTGAAACATTTGTGTTAACTGAAAAATCATAATCCAGTCAAGCAGCAGGAGAAAGACAATAGTGAGAGTAAGTAACCTTGCCTTACACCAGTCTCCACATCAAATGAGTCTCGCAGCAGTCCTCCGTAAACGATTTTGCAGGTTAATCCATCATAAGAGTTTCGGTTGATCCTTACCATCTTCTCAGTCATGCCATAGTGTTGAAGAAGCCTCCGTAATGTTGTCATGATCACACTATCAAATATTTTCTCGTAGTCACTGAAGTTGATGTGGGGTGTATTTGCATCCAGTTGAATAATTTGAAAAGTAACTGCAGTATTGAAGTCAGAAAATTAAAAAATGCAATGTCTTCGTGGATAAGATGACGTGAGTGTTTATGAATTCAGTTATATTGCAGTGAACTATTTAATTGAATCTTGAAAGTTTTGTAAAGATTGCCTGAAGTCATTTTACATGACAATCTTTAAATTTTTTATTCTGGGTACTTTGAATATTCGGATGCATAGTAGCGTATCTCTAATCATCCTACATCTGAATAAGCCCATGTCCTCAATTTGAGTAGATAAAAATTAACTTGATTGTTTATTATTCGCTGATTGTATAGCACACCCAAATTATTGATTTATTTCATGTGATTTCATAAAAAGGAAACGATTTAAATTCAGACATGAACTATGGTATATTGGAATACCTACCATAATCGTTTAGAGGGTTACCAAATAAACTAAGTTGTGTCATGTAAACTTCTATTTGAATATATTTTCGTATTATCAAGAATTATGATTTTTGAAGTGTTCAAGTATGTTGCTATTAATTTTATTAATTATCTACTCATGTTTTTGAGTATAAACTTTGATAAGATGTAGAAAAGTTAATGGTTGTAATAAGTATATTTATTGTTCGTTGATCATATCAACTAGAAATAAATTAGTAAATAGTATTGGTTTAATTGATCGAATTCAACAAGCAGCATTTGTGAATGCAACTAATGTTGCACGAAGATGATAATGAAGTATTGTGTTTATATATCGATATGTTCTCCATTTGGAGCCTACACAACATAAATCATAAGCATTGTCCCGAGTGATGTTCTTGTATGCTGCCCCGGAATCTGTAATTTGTTAGCGTCGTTTTCCCCAGAACTTACGCTCGTTGACGCGGAA